GCCTCTGTGGCTAAGTGGCTTAACCCCAACTATGTCATGGACACCCTTTGACGGAATGACTTTGACATAGTCAAAGATCAAGGACCTAACCACAAGACAACTATGATGCCTCAGGTCAAAAGACTACTTTGCATTATCCCAACCATGAGTATGAGAACTCTTTGTTGATCGTGTTCAGTGGACTCATTCTCTATTGAGCACCTACATGCTTGTCTTGGTGTCGGTCACACCAATGACCTAAGACCAGTCACTCTCTCTAAGAGAAGACATAACACGTACTGATCTTAACGGACTGTCAATGCCGAATTGGCAATCATATGATCAAGAACGTTTAGGGTATGTATACGAAGGAGAATGATCTTATGAATTTAACTTCTTTAGATCACATTCTCCCAATTACATATTCCTTGGACTTATCGTTTAAGCATATTTATATGAGACGGCTTTAAACAATAATCTTTAACCTTTATATATATATTAAACTAGATTAGTTTAACAAGTGAAACGTCTGTAAAATATCATCATATGATAGGCTTCATTTCCAACAACATCAAAGTACGTTTTTATCCTTGTATTTAATGGACCTTTAACGGAAAATAGTTTTTGGACTAAATTTTCTAACATAGCCCTAGCCTACGGTAGCCAGGGCGACTGCATGGGGCCTCAAAAAATAGGGGGCACAAAAAAATTTAATTTCTATTATTATAATGCTATGTCTAGTAAGCGTATAAAAATATAAAACTGGATATTTGTCATAAGTTGTCATTTGCAGTAGTGTTTCGTTGCTTTCTTGCAATGGAAAGGAGAACCCAAAACTGCCTAATTTTTTATGCATTTATTTCAACTTTGGCTTAAACAAGTAACTATATTTCTATATGTGCCTTTGACGAAAATGGTTTTTACAAATTCGTTTTCAATTAATTACCACCCTTTGGCAAATAATAATATCAATAGTAGCCACCCAAGTTCAAATCAAAATGAGGGCCTTTTTCTTTTGTGAATTTTAACGAAAAGTTACCGGTACTATTCACTAAAAAATCAATCATGATACTATTTACTTTACCCTTTATTTTGTTCTTATCGTTAAAACTCAAAGTTTTCAAGCCATTTTCATTAATTTTCTTTTTTCTTTAGCAATGATGTTCTGTTTCAATATAATGTTAGGGTTTAGGGTTACTTTTCTTTCTTATCCAAGAAAAATGAGTTATATTTTTAATAACATATATGTGGTATTTGATTTTTCAATAATTTTTTTGGTTCATTCATTGTTTATTACATTATATATAAAAATTAGAGAGAGAAAAATATGACAATTCTTATGAGGCTCCAAGGGACAGTAAATTGATTCATACTTTAATTGAGTTTTGCTTGTAAAATATTTGTGTACCCTTATCTAATTACAAACTAAGGTGTAATGTTATGGCTTAGATGTGAAATCTATTTTTTTCTTCACTTATAAATGAGAGGTCTTAGGTTTGAGTTTTTTAAATGACAAGTTAGATACCAAATTATGGCCAACCCATCTTGTTGCTTAGCATAATCCCTCACATCCTGCTATCGTTTTATCAAAGAAAAGTTACATCGGCATGAACAAATATGAACACTAAAACAATTGAGTTTTTTTTTTTTTTTTTTTCTGACATGGAGTTATACTAGGGCACTTTTTTTGGTATTGCCCCGGGCCTCAAAAATCTCAGAACCGGCCCCACGAGGGTTTAAATCCTAATATTTACCACGTATACCATCTTCCGATTACCTTACTACCACGAGGACTGTTTATCCGATTAAGCCGAGCTAGATTATTGTCTTAATAAATATAATGTTGAAGGTTTCAGACTGAAGAAGAAATGACTTCCAAAAATAATCATCATTTACTCATGTTCACAAAATTATGCGCTTTTTCGTCTTGCCACTTATTATTAACGAATTTTTACCGATATTTGTCATCATAAAATTATTTTATTAATACTCATGTACCGTTCAATATCAAATAATCAATCAAATTCAAGATCATCTAGCCATTCGTAATTCATTAAATAAGTGGACAGTTCCCTATGTAAACTTACCACGCCGTCTCAAAAGCGTGCTCGTTATAAAACTAAGTTTTGTATGCAAAATTTCGCCTAACAGATTTCAGCCCACCTTAGCCCAAACCCCATCTCTTCCAGCCCTTCAGAAAGCACAATACACTGCCAACACCACATCAACATGCAAAATTAAGCATAATACACCTCCCAGCCCTAGATTAACATGCAACGCCGGTAGTCCTTTTTTTTTGTCTCCTTAACATACATTTCTCTTGCGACAATAATTTATTAACTTGTACGCAATTAATTTCCTCTTTAAGGAAAAATTAATAAGAAAGTTTAGAGATCACTGCTGCAAAGGCTTAAAATTTTAATCCACTGAAACTTCAAAATTTAATCATAAAACTCTTAATACTACTAGGCAATTGGGTAGCACAACATTTCGTCCTCTCAAAGACAAATGAAAAAATCATTTAAATTAAACAAACACTGCTCGGTTTCGTCTTTCATCTTTACCGGCAAATAACAGTATTAATACACAAATTATAAATTAAAAACAAAGCTTATATAAAAATAAAAAATTTCTACCCCTGTATCAAACTTTTATTAAAGTGAATTATTTTCCAAACTAAAGCCTCACCCAAACCCCTAAGGGTGTGTTTGTTGCACCAGACTATCTCGGACTGGACTAACTTTAGAGACTAAATTAGACTAACTTAGTGAAGCGTTCGATGCAACGTCAGACTAAGAGCAAAATAATGACAAAAAAGAAGAAGATACATAACAAAATATTCTTATCCAATGAAGGTTGTTGATGCACAAAACCGGAGGTTTTGGAACAACGTAAATCCGACCGTGAATCTGCATGAAAGGTAAATAACACAAGATGTATCGTGGTTCACCCCAAGGTTTGTGTTACATCCACACTGATTATGTATTTATTTGAGGGAGAGAAAGCTCTGAGAGTGAGAGCTTTGAGAGGGGGTGAGAGGGCCTAGGAATTGGCCTCCTCTAATTGTGAGGGTGAGGGGTCCTTTTATAGAATAATGACTCCTCACTTATTACATATTTGCCCATTCCTTTATCACATAATTACATTTAAGTCCCTCGAGTATTTGTACGAGATCTAAATACAAGGCCCTAAATATGGTATAAACAGTAGTCCCCCAAGTCTTCAATCAAGAGAGTCTTTTGGCTGGAGACTTGAAATTCAGTCCATGTGTGGGCCGAAGTAACTAGATGTTGTTTTGAACTGATGTTCGATATGAGGCGGTGCTCAATCTGAAATGATGCTCAACTAGAAGTAGCACATGCTGCTCGGCTGCTCGGCTCGTGACTTATGTTGCCTTGGTTGGCTCGGCTTGTGGCATTGAAGGTGAGGGAGTCCTTTTTATAGAATAAGGGATCGCTCCTCAATACATAAATATGGGCTAGAGTTGATGCTCACGGCGAGGCGGTTGCTCAATAGGCGGCGATGCTTTCTAACGAAGGTGAGGGAGTCCCTTTTATAGAATAAGGGCTCGCTCCTCAATACATAAATACGGGCCAGGGTTGATGCTCTCTAATGGTGAAGGAGTCTCTTTTATAGAATAAGGGCTCGCTCCTCAATACATAAATAATGGGCTAAGTCCCCCAAGTATTTTTCATGAGGCCCAGTTGAGGCCCAATATATGGTACATAATCTAGTCCCCCAAGTCTTCGGTCAATAGAGTTTGTTGGCTGGAGACTTCAAATTGAATCCATGTATGGGCCGAAGTGGCGGTTGTTCGGAGGTGGTAGTTATATACCCTGCACTGAAGCTTTGAAGCTAGAGCTCTGTAAATGAAGCTTTCGAAGCTGGAGCTTTTGTAAATGAAGCTTTTTGCAGATAGAGCTCTGTAAATGAAGCTTTTGATGCTGATTGACATGAGTGATGCTTATGAATGTTAACATGAGTGATGCTCATGAATGTCGACATGAATGATGGTCATGAATGTTTATGTATGATTGCCATGAGTGAAGCTCATGAATGTTTATGTATGAATGACATGAGTAATGCTCATGTATAATTTGGAGTACTGGACGTACTTTTGATCACCTGATTGGTGGCATGAAGAAGAGTATGGGTTGTACATTTCATCACCTAGTTGGTGGCATGAATGGCTAGTTGCCAAATGATATTAGAGTACGAGTTGTACATTTCATCACCTGGTTGATGGCATGAATGGCTAGTTGCCAAATGATATTGGAGTACTGGGCGTACTTTTGATCACCTGGTTGGTGGTGATAGCGGCGGGTTGCCAAATAATTTTGGAGTACTGGGCGTACTTTTGATCACCTAGTTGGTGGTAATAGCGGCGGGGTGCCGAATAATTTTTTTTTTTAGTACTGTACGTACTTTTGGTCGCCTGGTTGGTGTTATTTTGGGCTTATGGGCCTTCGCCCTCTACACAACACTTCAGCCCATTTATTTTGGGCTTTGCCGTTTTGTTTTTTTTTTTTAATTTTATTTTATTATTATTACCCTCTGATGGGGTTTATACAGATGTCTCCGAAAGATAAGAAAAATAAATCACATCATACATCTGCCAAGAAAAGTAAATCACATCATTCTGGTGGGGTGTTTATTCCTTGCTTTTGTTTTCTCTTTTGCCTTCTCTTTTCCCTTTTTGGCAGATGGCAGACAACGCTTCCGTATTGGTTGAGGAAGTGCGCAGGCAATTATCAGTTATCACAGCTGGGTTTCTTGGGTCATCCTCGAGAATATTTCTTTCAACCTTGTCGACAAGATTTGCACTGATATAAGCAGCTTTGGTATATATGCTTCCTCCTTTTTCCTTTGTTTGAACACAAGCTGGTGTACTCCAGCTGTAAAAGGGAATGATTCCACCTGCATGAAAGCCGCAAGCACATGGTCATTACTTTTGCTTTTTTTTCTTTTCCACTGACCTCTCTCTGTATGACTCTCTCCCCTCATCTCTCTCTTCACCGACTTCATTGTGCCTTCATCACCACAACACCAGCAAGACCATCAAATATCGTGGCTCTTGTCTCTCCTTCCCCGAGTTCCAAAAAAGCAGTTGAAACATGATGGAACTCATCCATGAGAACTTTGTAATTATCTGTACCACATGTAAAATACCAATTGGGATCATATATGTGCCGATGAAATGCTAACAAGATAGTGACTTTGACATCCGTTGCAATGCTTGTATCATCCTTGACAGTGTCTAGAGCTCGAAGAACCAGGTAAAATAGACAGACAACGTTGCGGGGCTCAGTATCCAGCTGTTGTATAGCGAGAACGAAACTACGAGAGACCTTCTGGAGCATGGTGTAGCAGATTAGTAAGGTAGAGGCGATGAGCACCATGAACCAAATCAGGAAAGCTTCTCTGCCAGTAACTGTTAGTAAGAATCTTCCTACACCTGCAGAACCAACTCCAAAGCCTACCGCTGCTAGTGATACTGTACAGAAAGCTGAAACGGAGGTCGAACCAAAAGTAGAAGCGGCAAATCTTGCTTTTCAGGAAGCGTTCCTCCTAATCTTTGGCTATTTCCAAGAAGCATCCGCCCTAAGTTTTAAAGAAAACCAAGGATGTTTCCAGTGGAAAACCACTATGTTTGTGGCCACACGATCTGATCACTGGATGGCTGAGATTGAAGTTTCTTGTAGTGTTGTTGGCGAAGGTCGGCGAGTCATTGAGCTGATCGATCATGTCCTCAAACAGGTCCTCGCAGACCGGCAGAGCTTTCTCTAGGCGGGCGTTGTTGACCTGGTCCATGACCCGAGAGTGCAGACCCGGTCCATGGCCTGACCTATTCATCCTTTTCGTCATGTTCAAACGCCCCCTGATCTGCCAGCGAGTGCTCAGTGTCGATCCGAACGAGATCGATGCCCCGCAATCCGGCTAGGTCGACCAGCGACTCTGGGATGAAGCTTTGCTGCTTCTCGGACGAAGCTTTGCTGCTTTTTAAAAGCGGAGCCCCGTGATCTGGTGCTTCAGAAACACACAGAGGTGAAGAAGGTTGGGGTTGATCTGCACCGTTCGATTTGTATCCTTACACCACAAAACACTCTTTATCAGATCTCTCTCTGAGGATATAGAAAATAGAGAGAGAAAACGCGAGGAGATAACATGGTGGCTTGTTTGTGGGGGGTTTTTTGGAAAAGATTTGGGTTCTTGGTTTCTGCATATTCACGGTGGAGTGTGGTGAGATCTCACGGTGGTGAGAAGAAAAAATGAAAGAGAACCGACATAACTTTTTGTGTCGATTCTCACAGACGGCGTCAAATGTTGATACACAAAACTGGAGGTCTTGGAACAACGTAAATCCGAACGTGAATCTACATGAAAGGTAAATAACACAAGATGTATCGTGGTTCACCCCAAGGTTTGGGCTACGTCCACACTGATTATGTATTTATTTGAGGGAGAGAAAGCTCTGAGAGTGAGAGCTTTGAGAGGGGGTGAGAGGGCCTAGGAATCGGCCTCCTCTAATTGTGAAGGTGAGGGGTCCTTTTATAGAATAAGGACTTCTCACTTATTACATATTTGCCCCTTCCTTTATAACATAATTACATTTAAGTATCTCGAGTATTTGTACGAGATCTAAATACTAGACCCTAAATATGGTATAAACAAAGATGAACCCCAACATCGAAAGTTTCTGCACAATTACCAAATTCCAGAAAAATCAAAACTAAATGAAATCCTTCAATTTGCTATCCCATAAAAAGCATAACTACTGAAATCATTCAATTTGATCAACCACTCCAAATTGCTAAAAAGCTGTAATATCCCAGAAAAATCAAATCCTTCAATTTGGTATTTCAAAGAAAAATTCCTTCTCAACCTTCCATCAAATATTTTGAAACCCTCCGTAGTTGTAATCCTTCGAGAGAAAACGCAAAGTGCCCAACCCAGAACCCTTTATCCTGTTCACAATTCAAAAACACAATTAGGAATTCCACTCGGAAGGAAAATCGAATCCCAGAAAAATCGATTAAAAAACCTAGAAAAATCAAATCCCAAAAAAATCCATTAGAAAACCCAGAAAAAGGGAAAATACCTGCAAATCAAGTCTTGCAGACTTGGACTTTTAGATTCATTTGAATCGTTTCTTGCAGACTTTGAGATCTTCTGGACAGACGAGAGGGAGGTGGGGAGGAAGGCAGTGGGAAGGCAAGTTCTCGCTAAGCCCAGCTAAATCCCATTAAACTTAATCCCGGCTTGCACCAAACATAGAATAATAATCCTACCTAAGTAGTCCAGTCCAGTGAAACTTAAGGTGGCCAAACAAACACCCCCTAAAAGAATTCCCATCAAATACCAATTAATATAATACCAATGAAAATATATGGAGACAGATCCAGTACATCTCTTTATACAAAGAACACGGTAGAGACCAGAGAGAGATTGAGAGAAACTAAAAGTCTTTTCTGTGAGTTTTGATCTCGACCGTGATTTCTTTGTATAAAAAAAGGAATGAACCCTAAAACACGATGCCGCAGTCACAAGCTCAACTCCTCAGTAGGCTTTTTTATCTATCTATAGCAAGGAAAGGGGGTGATGTAATCTTAGTATGATAGAACCCCACTTCAACCTTTACTCAAATGCAAGATATACTAACAAGAACACTAATACCATCAAATATTCATTCCCCCTTTTTGCATCTGCACATACCTCAGCTTATATAGCTGGTTATAGGCTAAAGAAATCCAACTCAACAATTGACACCTGGCTAACTAAATGATGCCACTTAGCATCCTAACATTACCCCTCCCTTAGAAATCAACCTTGTCCTCAAGGTTTAGCTTTGAAAATTCCAGTAGCATTCTTTTGATTATGATTTGGCAATAGATCCAACTACTATAGGTTGATTTAGAGGCAATGAGCGACATAAGCCAATAGTATATAGCAGCAGCAATATGCTTTCACAAGTAGTACGAAGACTGATATGTTTTTCCTTTGTAACGAGCAACAACATATGTACTGAACTAATGAAACCATAAGTATGAGCTTCCACCAAGAGCTCACTGCTGAAAACATTAACTCTACATTATACCCTCTCCAAAATTGAGCAATGATATTGACCATACAATCAGAATTTCTAGCATGCATAAGGATACCCAATGCAACTATACACACCACTACTTCGTACATCTCAATACCCACTGGAACAGCCTGACTCGTACCTCTACTCTCAAAGTATCCAGCAAGCAAAGAAATCCAAGAAATATTTGGTTTAGTAATTTCGCACAAATCTGGGTTTAAGAAAAACCTCAAGGCATTATGCTCATCGCCACACCTAGAGTATAGATGCATAATGACACTACTCACAGGAACTGAGCACCTACATAGAAAGTCCACCTCTACACAAGCCCTATGAATTTGTTTCCTTTCTTTCTCAGCAAACAAGGCACCAATCACTGCAGTAAACACAAAATTAACAACCATGCTCCTAGTATTATTTGGAAACTTGTGTGTTAACAACATCGGCCATATCGGTTGACAAGAATCTGCCCTCTCAATTGGCAACCCCAATGGTTTGCACAACACAGTATTTCCCACAATCCCATTTGTTTTACCAATTGAGATGAGTATCAAACGCAAAGCCTGATCTGCTACAACTATGAAAGTACAATATGCAACCAACAGCACAACCCCAAATATTCCATCTTGGCTACATTCAGTAAAATCTCCAGATGCATTCGCACAAGAAAAATGAATGTTCAAGTAACCATATACCTGAATTTTGAGACTCCACCCTTATCTTAAATACCCTTATCGACCATCATATTGAAAAGCAATAAGCATTCTTTCATTCGATTCTGCAAACTCATGCTTTGTATGAGCACGGAATATGCATCCAAATCAAGACTCCAACCCTTCATTAGCATTTTTTAGAGGACTACCCACAGATCTTTTACCCTGTCTAATTTTGACAATCCAAGCATAATAGTTGAGTAAGTTGTACTAGTAGAAGAAGTACCAGAATAATAGGCCAATTGTTGTATCCTTATTGCTTCATCAACCTTTCCCGTCTCACACAAACCGTAGATCAACATATTGAATGAGGAAGGCTCGATTGAACATCTATTACTAGACATGTAACAGAACACTTCAGTAGCCTCAAGAGTCATTTCCCCTAGGCAAAGGCCTTTAACAAGCTCACAGTAAGATGTATGATCCAAAACCCAGCTTTTGGCATGAATATGGTCAAATATATCCATAGCATTTCTGTAGTTGCTCATTTTGCAATGGCAAACGACTAGAGCTGAGTATGTGTCACCGTCAGGAAGAGAACAAGAAATCACATTTCTACCAAGAAGTTCCAGCACTTCCCTAATCCTTGCACTCTCGGAAAGCCATCTAATAATAATATTCCAAGAAATACAATCAGCCACATTTCTTTTAGACATTTTCACAAGTAAATCTTCCGCCATAAGAAACTTTCCAGTACTGCAGTAACCTTGAAGCATTACATTGCAGGCAGAAGTTTCCATGATTTTCTTATCTTCCAAGAACTTCATCGCGTCATCTACTTTCCCTAATTTACAAAACACATATAATACAAGTGCAAAGACATTATTTGGCGGTGTCTCTTCTAAAACCTTTATCACATCATCCAATCTAAGGTTCTTGCATAAAAACTACAACAGAACCTCATAAGCCAATGAATTCACCGTAAAATTAGAAGTTTTCATCATTTCGAACAATCTAATTATCTTGCAGTAGTAGCCCATGGAACGATCGATATCAACACAGAACCCTGAGTCCTCACAGCTTGCCCATAAATTCATTGACTCAAAACTGGAGAGAAACTTAGTACCGCATTTATCATGAATGAATTCATGGAAGCCAAGCTTCAAAGAAGCCATGTCGGCCTTTTGTTGCATTCCCACAAACACATGGTGGGCATATATTCCAACCCATTCTTTTTGGTATTCATTCTCAAGAATTGTTGGTTGTGCCTTCATAAACTGATATAAACCCACAAAAACTACAACCATTATCTTGGATTCATCACTTTCTTTATCACCAAAATTTGAAGCAACCAATTGTCCCGAAGATCCGTAGTACCATTTTGCAAGAATTCAACATTAAAAACAAGAATTTTAGAATCGTGAACATCTACGACCTGAAATTTGGAAGTAAAATGCCCAATAATAAGTGTACCTCCCAAGTTTGAAATCGGCATATGATAGCCTAACTGAAGAACACTATTATTTGTTGAGTTCGGCAATTCGTCGAACATGTTGTGGCCCAAGTGAACGCCTACTACTTCTGCTGGAATTAACATCTGTTTTGCATCAAGAATGAAACCCACGTCGAAACGGATTGGAAAATCTATACAATTCCATCAGATATAGAAAAATCAGGAGAGTTGAATCTTTCTTTGACAGAACCAACCTTTTCGTATCCATAATTTGTGCAATTCGACTTTTGCACATTAGATACAAAGAATGCAGAACCCTAAATGAAAATAGAATCAAGAAATAGCCTTGTTGCTGGTAGCAATGATTGGAAGCCAAGAATTGGTACAGAGGCTTCGCGTTGCTGGTCGTTGTGGTATTTCTTGCGAACCTTCTTGAATTTCGCCAATTTTGGTATCAAACAAGGATCACTTTTAGGCTTGTATCTTGGACGATACTGAGAGAATAACTCATCTACTTTCTCCCGGGCCCGAATCTTTTCCTCATGGAAAGATTGAAGCTTGAGAACGACTTGATTCGATTTCACAAAAAGAGATAGGAGATGCCATTTTGATGTACGGCGAATGCGAACCCATATTGCATTTGTCCACAAAATCACAAAATAGTTTCTCGAATCGAGAATCAAAATAATCTTGATGAGTTTCCATGGCGTCAAATCGTTAGATTAGCCCACCGTGAGTGTCGTTAATTGCAGCAAGATGATTATGAGATTCCATGACTTCTTTCGTCGATGCACTATTCAATCGGCAAAAGAGAAGGGATTGAGGGATCAAGACTGGCTCGATACCAATGATAGAATCCTACTTCAACCTTTACATCAATGCAAGATATACTAACAAGAACACTAATACCATCAAATATTCATTCCCTCTTTTTGCAACTGCACATATCTCAACTTATATAGCTGGTTACAGGCTAAAGAAATCCAACTCAACAATTGACATTTGGCTAACTAAATGATGCCACTTGGCATCCTAACACAGTATTTATAGTAGACCCGGCATTCGTGTCATGTTTCTCGTGTTCGTATCGTTTTTGTGTCATACCCGATTTCTTAACGGATCGTGTCATGTAATACCTGTTAAAGTAAATGGATAATATGACCCAACCCGAAATCAACCCGTTAATATTATCAGGTAATATGACCTAACCCGAAATCAATCTGTTAATATTATCAGGTAATATGACCCGTCCCATTACCTGTTAAGAAAAATATATTTTAAATCAATAAAAATGAAAATAAAAAACATAATTTGACCCAAAAAAATGTAAAACATAATACTAAATTAGTATATATATATATATACTAAATTTCGGAGTGGACCCCTTTATGAAAGTTGTAAAGTTTTTCATTACGCGTGATTACATTTTTCACACATCTACAATAATTATTATTAATTTTGCACTCAAATAAAAAACATTGTTCATGAGATTTGAAGGGTTTTAAAAATTTAAACGACCATGTAACCATCGTCTAAGCGTTGAGGATGCAATTATAAACGTTTATTATGCTTTCACATCTTTCAGACTTATACATTAATGATTATAATTTTTCTTTATTTTGAACTCCCTTAAAAATACTATTGATGCGAGTTTGTATGGTTTTAAAAATTCAAACGATCATATACCCAATCTCAAAGCGTAGAGGATGCAACTACTAGTGTTTGCATATTCTTTCATATTTTTCGCACATGTAATTAATTATTATAATTTTTTTTATGTGTTTGGTATTTTTAAATTACTTGATATTTTTATTTTTAATGTGTTTTATGATTTTTAATCTCAATCTTTGCCTATAATATACTATAAAAATAAATAAATATATAAACTTAAATTTTAAAATTTATATAGAATAATAATTAATAAACAATATATACATATTCATTATATCTATTGTATTTTATAGTAAGTTTTTTTTAGTAGTTTAAAAAATTAAAATCATCACAATAATTGTTTTCTTATCGTGTTGAAACAGGTTACCTGCGTATCACTCTCATGTATACCTATTAAGGACCCGTTATTAATGGGTTATTATCGTGTGACCCGATAATAACCCTATTAGTTATCGTGTTGACCCAAAACCCATTATTTTCGTGTCGTGTTAACGAGTCATGTAAGAAATTGTCAGGTCTAATTTATAGCCCAAAACATGCTCCACGTGTTTCTCTATGCTTGCGTACGCGTACTTTCCATGTTAACAGAACCCTAGTCAAACTCAAAGTCAAAGAAAGGCCCAAAAGCCTTTCGGTGTCACAAATATAATTTCATAATGAAGAAGGATTCTCTCATCTTCTTCTCACATCCCCTTTCATCCCATCCTCTCACACTTTATTTTTTGTCTTATTGTCTTTACAAAAAATCAACATAAGTCGTTGCATGACTTAACCGTAACCGTTCAAGTAGAAGGCAAGGGAAAGGGAGAGGGGTTAGGAGGAGAGAGAATCCTATTCCTTTGATAATGACCTATGAAAATAAAAAATGAGACTACTTACTTACAAGTGAGAATATTATTATTGTTGCAATCCTATTATATTAGAAATGTAATCGTGTAAATCCTATCATATCTAGGACCTTATGAGATTCTACCATATCTCTTAGACTATATATTATACTATTAGAGTTGTAATCATATTGGGGTAAGGAATTTACCTTTTCTACTACTATAAATAAAGGCACAATCGGGTGATACACACATCTCACAATTACACATCTCTCTTTTTCTCTCTACTGTGCCACACCTCATCTCTATGGCCTCCATAATTGTTCAATAAATTATGCTTATAATACGATATCAGTATGCTCTCGATGCTGCGCTAAAGAGAGTTTATTCTTCAATCAGGAGAGTATTATGTTTCAATCATTCTTTTTATGATTAATTGATTATTTTATTGAATTGATCTACATGCTATTGATTCAATTTAATTTTTCTATGATGAACATGATACAACGCATTGGAGATGTAATTCCGCCTTTCCGAAAATGATCTTCTACAAATTCAAAGGCTTTTGTTGTTTTCTGCAAATCAAGTAAGCTTAAAATAAAGGAAGATATTTACCTTCCGATATATATATATATATATATTGTATATGTTTCATGCGTTATGCAAATTTTGCTATGTGGAATTTGTGAGTCAAAACATCGAAATAAATTAGCAGCAATTTAGGGTTTATCAAACCTTAGAAAAGTGAAAAAAAATTATGGGATTTTTTGCAGCCTAAGCCACAGTTCCTGCTGCGCCGCCACTGGCGTCACCGCATAGCACCGTTGTTGGCCTGTAACCCAACCGCGTCAAGCACATCACTAGGATAACGTCGTTTGACGTTTGGACCACATGACATCAGCCATTTGGGCTTTGTTGTGCACACATGACTTAGCCCAACCCAAGAAGGCCTGCAACTCTTTTTGCAGATGCCTCCCGTGTCCTTGGCCTAAAACCAGCAGCCCTATGCTGCTAGATTTTGTCTAGTGCCCTACGCCTACCTGCAGCAAGCCCTCATTACTCGACCCAATTGCTAGAATCTCCATATGTTACTAGGCTTACTTTGACTCTGCCTAAACCTGAAAGTTAGCTTCGGCTGGGCCTCCAACGCACCAACCTGTAAGCCAACCTTTGGCTGGGCTTGCCCTTGCATCCTGTTTTGGCCCCAAGCCAGCAGCCTTTGCTGCTGGGCTATCCTTATAACCGGCCCAATGGCTTGCAGCCATAATTAGGCTATTTTCGCAGCCCTCCCTGACACACACCAACCTTGTATGTCCGTTAAGATTCCAAATTGAGGCTTGCTGGCCAACACCTGGAAGGTGACGAAGTCATAAAGTGTAGTGATGTGGAAAATGTGAATAAATTTAAACCTAAAAGTGCCTAAATATAAGAGTATGCTAGTGAGCAGGAATGAACCCATTTCACACGTGACGTTAGAGCTTAAGTAAAGTACAGTAGAGTGGATAAGGATTATAACCTCAGAGGTAGCCACCTATACTGATATTCGCCAAGAATCCTCGTCGACTCTACTGTGCTTTACTTATGCTCTGACGTCAAGTGTGAAATGGGTTCATTCCGGCTCACCAGCGCACTCTTATATTTAGGCACTTTTAAGTTTAAATTTATTCATATTTTCCACATCACTACACTTTATGGCTTCATCACCTTCCAAGTGTCGGCCATCACAACTCGATTCGGAGTCCTAGTGGATATATCGAGTCGGGGTGTGTCAGTTTGTTATCTGTGCTCTGAATATTTGTAGTTTTTGGGTTGTAACCACTGTTCCACACTCACTTTATTAGTTTATTTAAGTTCTAATTTCGGTTTTAATTTATTCAAAATTGTGCTTACATCGCTTGCACTTTTGGTTACGTCACGCCTTGATTCCGGTCAGGGTGTGGAACTCCCGAGGCCCAATAGCTTGCAACTTTGCTGCAGGGCTTAGTCTCACATTGCAGGCAACCCACTTTTAGCTGGATCGCGATATTTTTTCGACCCAATACCAATTTTTGGCATTCCCGCATTATAAATCAAACCCAATTATTTTATTTGGGGTAATTTGGTTTATGCTAATTATTTTTAATTTAATTATTACTTGGCCCATCACCAATTGAAGCTAGTATGACCCATTTGTCATTATTTTGCTTCCACGATCAATCTGGTTTGGTCCCGATCTATTGAATTAATTAAAAGTGACTAGCAGTCCATTAATCTGATAATTAATCTAAAATTATTGACCTGATGATCAATTTTGGACATTAACGATTCAATAATTTTTTTTTCTATTTTGAACTGTTGATATCCTTTCGTAGTCCCGAAACTCTCACGCTTGAGTTACAAAAGCAACTCAAATCCACTACACTTAAATCAACATATTGTATTATGTGTTCTTGCAGGAACCTCTCTTTTATGAACTAAAGTAAACTAAATTGAACTTATAGTTTCGAATTCAGTGCCTTTGAAACCCAAAATTTTGATTATAAAAAACACCCATGAAAATCCAACGTTTTTCATGCAAACCATGTCTTAGAACCCAAATGTTCTAACTTTGATGCTTACGGATGTTTTATTTCCCATAGCATTATTCACAATCTTGTTCTCTTCATTTAGTGGATTGTTGAACAGTCACAAGTTTGATTTTCCTGATTTGGACGTTTCTAATAGAAACCACTTTATGTGGGTAGAGGACGTGAATCTCCAATTGACTATCAATAAGCTGAGAAACAATTGAAGCTAACAATGGCATGGAAGAGCTGAATAAGCCTCCACCATGATCTTCATTCAAAGACTTATGCCCGAAGCATTACAAACAAAAATACCTCCTGAACGAGGATTCCATGGCTCTTTGGCTTGGTTCTACGAACAGTTTAATCATGAAAGATATTGTCTAAAGCACACCATGATTACGTCAATGAATGAGTACAATTATGAAGTTTATAAATCTAATCGAATTTTGACTAGAGTATACTTTTCTTGTCCTTCCATGTTTCTAATTCGCTTCTGATGTAGTAGTGTAGAGAGCAGATGTTTACCAAATTCTCAGATCTAATTACTACCATAAATATGAGAAAAAGGTATAGACCCAGCTTTGGTTGGACTCTACCGTACGGTATAGACCCATCTTGGCTGAAGTCTATTGTACGGTATACACCCAGCTCGGCTGGAGTCTACCAAATGGCTCGACCCAGTTCTGTCAAGGCCTACCGAATGGTGATTCCCAATTTCGACTGAGGCCCATGGAACGGTATTGCTCTACCTTGGCAGAGGCTTACCGAACAGACCCCTCCAGCTTTGGTTGGAGCCTACCGAACCTAAGTTTGGATCTGTCACTCTCACAATCCAATTTCGAGTTTGTTTTTATAACATATGGTAAAATTAGTGTGT